TTAGGTGGTCTTGGAGGTCTTCTTCAGTGAAGATTCAAGGTCTCCTCACATTTGAACTTTACAACTTTTTCTTCAGAGCACGCACAGTTACGGTGTTCCTTGGACTTTCTGGATCTAACTGGTCTAAATTCTTTAGAATTAATTGGCTAATTGACTAATATGGCTAATTTATGTTTGCCAAATTCTCATTAGTTAATATTGCTGTTTMTTAATTAGCTATACTTACATATTTTTCGAGGTTATCCACCTGGTGAGTTTTTGTTTACTAAAGCTTTAAGCAACTAGTTAACTACATTTGGCTATTATTTGTATAAAAAGTTATGATTCAGTATATATTAGTATTAAAAGCTATAATTTAGGTTATAGAAGTATTAAAATGTTATAATTCAGGTTACATAGATATTTTAGAAATCAAGCTATATAAGCATCTTGTAACTCCGACCCAAGTTATATGTGCATCAAACTACAGGATGAATTTGAAATAATTTGATTAGTGAATTTGGTCACATGGAGAAATAGTCTCAATGAACACACTGTCACTTAAAAAAACAGTAAAACTCTTTCAGTTAAGGAAGGTCCACATCATTCCTTTGTGCTTGTCTTCCAGAAGCTTTCATATCCACAGCTCATACCAGTTTCTAGAASAGTTTAGGTAATTTGAAAGATTTTTAACAGTCATTTGAATGTTAAGGCAAAAACTTGTTTTTTTCCTCCTCTTGATCAATGTCATGAGCAAAGTGGTTTTCTTCTTCAGACTTTAAGTRGAATAAGCAAAAAAGCAGAAAGTGAAGGAAAGCCTTTAATTATTTTATTCTAGTATGATAAGGGGAATAGAGTGATGTGTTAGTACTAGGTATGTCTGATTACATATGGACCTCTTCTTACCTATGGAGCATCATCTTTCTATTAAGGTTTATTAAAGTCTTACTGTCTTTTRTGAATTTCCATTCTCCATTTTCTAAGACGTGTCAAGACCTTTGGAATTAACAACAGAGCTGCATTGTGGAATATATAAAAACTTGCCCTAGCTATGTGAAATGCCAGCATCTTAGTTCTGACATGCAGAGGATGTTGAGAATTCACTGGTCAAATAAAAATTAGAGTGGTARTTGAGCTCCAGTGTGCTTCATCATRCATAGGACTGGGAAGGASASTGSTTAGAAAGAGGGTCTTTTGGTGTGGCTTTTAACTGCAATGCACATTTTTTCATATTTCTCAGTTTTAAGCAAGTAATTATCAGAAGGTTTCATTGGTCTTTAACTATGATTTCTCTCTCCATCTTTTTATGTTATATCTAAATATTTAGATGTTCAAGTGACAATGTAAAATCTTGGCTTCTGTCCTAAAGGGTTTAAATATRTGTGAAAATTTATTTTTTAAAAAATGGAAATGTTTATTTTTAACTTATGTGGAAGTATTGTATTTTTGACAAGAAGCTTGGTTTTATTTCGTATTMTAAAGGAAGGGAGGTTCATGCTTATTAAGTATTGGGGACACTGTTGAAAGTACAGTTTTGATACAACAGYAGTAGAAGTCTAGATATAACTGTCAAATCAAAACTCATAGTCCTTGCAATTCTGGTAAATCTGTGATTGAACTGTGGAAAAAGTGCTTAGTATTATTATTCATTTACAAATTGTGATTGCCTTTGACAAAATGAAAGACTTAAGATTAAAAAAAAAACAAAAAACTAAAGAAAATGAGATTAGAAAAGACCGTGAAACATTGTCTGCTCCATCCCACAGYCAATGCTGCACTGACTGCAGGTTAATGGCTTTTAAGAAATACTGTCTGCAGTTGGTAGTATAAAGGTACCTACTGAGCTTGAGAACAAAACATTATGATTTCAAGTTAAATCTGCAAAACCTAATATTCTCAGAATGCATGTTGCAAACCTCAAGGTAATAACTGTCATAACTTCCAATTGTGGCTTTGAGGAACAAGGATTTTACTAACTCTGAAGGTAGTCAGTGCAGGGTGATGAATCAGGATTTCTGGTGGGTTTTGCTGATGTGGCACAGTATAAGGCATGTGTTTGGCATGGAGAACGACTGACACCTGGGATCATGGCTGTGTTGGCTCATACTGCTGTTCCATATAATCTTTTGTTCTACATCATGTAATTATTTCTGAACATAGTAGCTTGTAGAGAAAATTTCTGTTTGAAATACTAAATATATTTAATGGATAGAGGTTATTCCATTGCCTGCATTAGGCCAACACTATTATTTTTACAGTTGGGGAATAAACCTYTAAATAATCACCTTAAAACAAGGATTGCAGTGTGCTTCTGCTTTGCTCTGGAATATAGATCATTATATTTTGTTGTATAGTTCAGTAACTTGGCTGGGGATCAGTTTCAATTTGAATGCTCTCTGCAAGCATCGTGTAGCAATGAAAAAAAATAAGCAACTTGGGTTTGTGRAACTCMAGCTTTGAAAAATTGCRTCTCTTATTTGCTAYTTGATATTTTCCAAAGTTAAAATTWATTMCTGTCTCCAGAAGCTAAAGTGTTACTTTTCAGTTGGTGTCATTGAAACTGAAAGTATACTACAGTTGCTTTATCCTTRAGGCAGAATGAGATTGTGCTTAAATGAGTAAACCTATTTGCCAGAACTTGATGTATAAAATGTGTTTTGTTTGTGTTTTTTAAAAAGATACACATAACATCTCTAGAGTAGCAGAACACTTATTTTTATGCTCTCTGGAAGGGAATAAAGAGGAGAAAGGTTTTTCTCTTATGTGTCTGAAAATACAATKTATTTCCTTAGGCTGGTTAAGCACTAATTGGAAAGCTAACATTGACTAAACCAACATCAATTAGTCTGTGTCAGCAAGAGGCCTGTGTGCTTTTGTGATCTGTTCTTCTGCTGATGTCTCTTCTGTGTGTGGACAAATCTTAGGCCAGAAMATTTGTTTAAATAATTGTTCAAAAGAATCTTACCAATGTTGTTTTTGATGGTGTTTTGTCTAAGTTGTAGCTTGTCCTCCATGACTCCTGCTTGCTCAAATGGTACAAGTAAAGAAAAGGAAGTCCTCAATTTGCTGAGAAGCTGCCTTTGTAGCCAGCAGCTTACCTGACATGATTTCACTTACCTGGCATTTCATCTAGTGTTCATGATGCTTCTGCCATTCAATATGTAAATTTTAGGGCTTGAGATCAGTGGTTTGTTTTTTTTTTTCAATTTGTCTCTTCCTTCAAAACCTTGACTTGCAATAAGTGATTGTCTCTTCTGAAGAGGGGGGATGGTGCTTCTGTGTTCAGCTGTAAATGTTGGCCACTACCTCGCTTGAGTTGTGCTCCAGCTCAGTACCAACCATATGTCCATCATTCCTCTGGAAGGGTTCTTCACCCGGTGATTTTAACTTTAAGATGAATAAAAGTAGTCCCTTTTCCTTCAAGCAAAGGGAAGATATTTTGTTACAAAGTTACTCCAAACTATGACGGTGTAATATTCAAGTGGTTCAGTGGGTTTTCTGTTATACAGAGATTCAAGTCAGGAAAGCTGCTTTTTTTCTTTACAGTAAATGTTTCAGTATTCACACTGAGATGTATTAGACAAGTGCTGCTTGTCATTTATTTGAGGAGATGCACATGTAGTATGTTTTTGAAGGAGAACAGACATTTTCTTGTTTGTCTAGTTCACTTTTGATTCTCTTTTCCTTAAGTTGTTCTTTGGCTATGAGATTGACATGTAAAAGGAATCTGGAAAAAACTCTTGTGTCTGAGGATCTGGTACAACAATTYTAAACAGTTTGCAATTATGAACACACCAATTATTTGCTGTTGGCT